GAGTCTATTGAATCATATTCAATTATTTTCTCGAAACCATTCGTGTTTTCACCGTGATCCACCTTTTTTTACATGTTTTGACTAGACCGCGAACCTACCGGCATATCACGATTGTGAGAGGGTATTTGAGTAATACGTCGACCGTATATCCAAGTGCTGAGAGATCGAATTGAAAAATCGACAAACTAGCAGCTGTCGTGGTCGGTGTTGTAGACCTTCTTTGATTGAACAGATCATACCAAGGAATTGTTGAAAAATACCTCATAGAGGATATTTTTTTGAAGATTATTGTTACAAAAGCAATGAGGGGCCATTATTTGATAAATTCACTGTGCCGGGAATTTGATTTTCTATGGAGTTGTTTTTGTTTTAGGAAGTTCAGTCTTCAATAATTATCGATGGTAATCATGAGTACTTGAGATTTTTTATCAAAATTAGGATTTAAGTGCATATTACGTGTTCGACTTGGTGAATGTTGTTATTTTCTCAATCATTTAACGACTTCCACTTTGGCTAGAGATTTCAGGGATTCCTATTTTCCATTCCGATACTTATTCTACCTGATACCTGTTATTTCATTCCTTACAGTTATCATTTCTGCACCGATTGTTGTGATTTCACTATCTAAGATATACAGTTTATATATCATTACATGCCCAGCGTGTATATAAAATCTGTAGTATCTGTACCACTTACCTCTGGGGTAGTTTAGTGGAGTCAACTCAGGAAACGTTACGTTTTTTCTCAGGATTCTTAAATCACTTGGTACCCAATACTTGTATTCTTCATCAGCTTGGTTTCATATTATACGAATAGTCAAATTACTCACGACCCTTTACAACGAACAAGCACATTAATACTTGTCGTTCTCAAAATTTATTAGTTCAGTTCGACCTGGAAACTGAAATGCCTAAATGAGGGAGGTAATAACCAATTTACTTTCATTCATTTCCTGCGGAATTGTTTATCTAGTGTGATATCGCAGAGGCATGAATTTTCCTTTCGTTTGAACAATGAAACATTCGAATTCAATACTTATTCATATTCTCGTTTGACACTGGAAGAAAATCAGTTCGAGCTCTATAATGCCACTCCCAAATATCTTCGTGACGAAGTATAAATAATGGTAACTCATGTAATACGGAGCAATATTTGATTTTTTTAACGTATGGTAAGGATGTAACAGCATGAAGTTTCGATGTTGAATACTTGAAAGATATTATAAAAATGTTGTTGGTAGATTTTCGATTAACTCACATCCTCCTGAATCTTCAAAGGTATTTTTTTCAAATTTTGATCGAATTTTATATTATTTCGTCTCCCTTTTTGGTTCGTGAATTCTATTCTCATAGCCGCATACTGACATGACTCGTTATTGAAATAATTTCCTGAATCCCTTACTTCGTCCTTCACATACGACATGATATTCATAATAGCTGTGAGTATTAAACATAAGGGTATTCACATAAAATCTCTACATGGTGTTTTCCGACACTGTGCGAAATTTCGGAATATTCAAAATGCTCTCAAATGGTGAAAAAAAATTTTTTCTCAACATCGACAACAGAGGCATGAAGATGATCTCATTACCTCGAATATTCCGCTAATCAACTTCCTATCTCTCTTATTTACAGAGCGATCTCAAAAAATCAACTTTCTGGTTTTGCAGCCATAACTTTTTTCCACGTCAACCGATTTTGGAAATCTTAGGCTCATTTTGAAGATAAAACTTTAGATGAAGAGATCTAAATATCAGAATTGACTCAAGATGGCAATCAAAGATCTAGAGTTTTCTTGAAAGTGACCCAAATCTGTAACGCCCTCCGAATCTCGGTTGGGAGGAGAATTGAATGAAAATCAACTTGTTCTCGGAAAAACAATTCATTCTGGATGCCTCCATATTTTCCTCGTTCTCAGTACTCAAGAATGTGCGTGAGAAAAACAATTGAAACATGTTCTTGCAAAAACATCAGACCATTTCTCCTCTGTAATGCATGGCCCGTAACCAACGTTACAAGAATCACAGTAAGTGACTGACAAGTCAGGTTAGACGTCGTTTTCGAAACATTAACAGATTTTGATAGTTTCGATGCCGCATCTAACGCCCGACCAGTTGGAAGTGATTCCACAAATGAGGGAACAAGGGTTTTCTTCCCTCCAAATCGCGAATCTGCTAAACACGACAGTCCGATCCATTCAAAGGGCTTATCTCCGACACGAATTGTTTGGTTATTACTGTCGATTCGTTCGGCGCATTATTGCGATTGAAAACTTTACGTAATTGGCAAACCGTTTTCGTGGAACTTTCACCATTTTTTAAATGCGTTTTTACAATAAATAAACGTTGTTTGCTTGAATACTTCTCCATATTCTTAAATCGCATCTTATGTACGTGACAACTGTTGAAAAAATCACTTCATCGAAAAAATCAAAATCCGTTGCTCTTGTTGGTACACCATTTATGATGAGCCTCAGCTGGTCGGGTTTGTCAGTCACTCATTGTGATTCTTTTGTAACGTTGGTTACGGCGGGCCATGCATTACAGAGGAGAAATGATCTAATGTTTTTGCAAGAACATGTTTCAATTGTGTTTTCTCACGCACAATTCTTGACTACTGAGAGGTAGGAAAATATGGACGCATTCAGAATGCATTGTTTTTCCGAGAACAAGTTGATTTTCATTCAATTCTCCTCCCAACCAAGATTCGAAGGGCGTTCCAGATTTGGGTCACTTTCAAGAAAACTCTAGATCTTTGATAGCCATCTTGAGTCAATTCTGATAATCAGATCTCTTCATTTGAAGTTTTATCTTCAAAATGAGCCTAAGATTTCCAAAATCGGTTGACGTGGAAAAAAGTTATGACTGCAAAACCAAAAAGTTGATTTTTTGAGATCACTCTGTGAATAAGAGAGATAGGAAGTTGATTCGTCAAATATCTCGAGGTAATGAGATCATCTTCATGCCTCTGTTGTCGAAGTTGAGAAAAACATTTTTTTCACCATTTGAGAGCCTTTTGAATATTCCGAAATTTCGCACAGTGTCGGAAAACACCATGTAGAGATTTTATGTGAATCCCCTCATGTTTCAATAAAGTACGAGATTATAGCTCAAGGACTGGGCTATCGAACAGTGTGAACCAAATTCAAATTGTTCTGAACTTAAAAAAAGTTATTCACATTATAACAGAGGCGACATTTTGGTGTGCGACGAAATTGGTGTTGAGTAGTTTATATTGCGTTTTTTTTTTGTAAAAACTGTGTTTCAAACATCGAATATTTCAAACTTCCCACAATCTCTCCTTCCCCTTTGTTTAATTCAATATTTTCAGCCAGTTCTCGCACGAATCTATCAAATCCTTCTAGTGCATGTCTGTATTCCTGAGAATACATATAAGTACTGTTTATTTCTCAATATTACATCGTTTACATCTTGACCGATATCACCTTATCAATTATTTCCTTCAGTCGACTAGCCGCTTCAGTATATTTCCAATGGATATTGAGGGATATCTTGTACACCCTGAAAATTTGCATATGGGTTGGTCGTAAATTTTCGAGTGCCTGTACAAAACTTTCTCTCCGAGTACCCACACCAATATGATTCAATAGTTCGGCGAGGTACACCAGCTGTCAACGTCATCTGTCATATATGTCACCTATGTCATATGTCGAAGCAGTCGTCACTCCAATTTATTCTGATGCATTGCTTTTCCAATTACTCACTTCAACACGTGGTCGATAGCGAGTTGTTCCAGTTGAGGATAGTGCATGTATTTCTCCATGCTGGTTGTCATAGTTTGACCACTTAATATGGATCTTGGTTATCCCTATATGCTTTGATCAATAGAGCTTTCACAATCTTTATATGACGTTCGACCATTCCATTTGAGCGTAAATGCTGTGGACTGGATGTCGATAACTTTATATCGTATTTTCTAGCACATGAGCCGTCTCACTGCTGTTTTTATTGACAATTAGAAATTTGCTGTAGTAGTCTTCAATGACAATAAAGTCCTAACGCTCGAAGAATTTGAAATCCATGCAAATTTTTTGTCATTCCTCATCACAAAATCTCCTACCTATATCGAATCAATTCGTATCTTCAGTAGATTATTATTTGGGTTGTTTTCCCAAATTTTTTCAATCAGTGTCCCATGTCCTACTCTGGTTCAGCAGGTACCTTCTGCTGAATGTATAATATCTGAAACATCGTAAAATATAATGATTATTGTTATATTCATATAGCATACTTATGATATCTGATGATTCACACCTTTCGAGAATGTCAAAAACACTACAAATTCAATGAATTTTTCTGCATGCCTTTGTAGTGATTGAAATTACCAATGAGATATTTGATTACCCCACAGGGGGTTATTGCCCCGCTGGTTCTGAGGGAAATGTGAATGATAAAATAAATACCAAAAAGTTTCAAACGAAGACTGTCGAAGTGTCGAGCGCGGGTCGAACGTCAATGTCTTACGTCGTGATTCATGAGTTCATGATTTCAAACCACATCATAATCACAGAACAGAACATGAACTCAGGAACTCACTTTGATAATAACCACAGTTGCAAAACTATCAATTCACGATTGTTTCAAACACTGAACGAAAAATAGAAGAAAACAGCACAATGCAATGCAAACAGTTTCGATTCAAAATGGCGAATAGTTCTGTGTAATCCTTGTGTTCGATGAATAACATAAGTTTCACGCTTCAGCTGCGCTATTAGCGCTCTGAAAATCACATTCTGAAGAATTTGAACAAAACGGAACAAATACCTAGTTTCTCGAGGTAATCAGAGATAATGCCAACAATTATGTCTTGTCTTGTCTTTCGTAAATATTCATTCGTATATTCGTCATTGTTACGTGTACATCTTTTTTTCTTTGCGCAGTGGGTCTACGCCTGATGATTCACACAATGCAGTTAGACTTCATTGTGTCTGGTTGTGCATTATTACCTGTTTGTGTAATATGAGTTCCTTTAAAATTCCAGCCCAGATGGCGAGTTGTTGGTTTCACAAAGTGGAGAACCTGATTATTTGATCACGGTATGGAATTGGCGAGAACATAAAATATTGTTGAGAAACAAATCCTATGTCAATGATGTCTATCGGGTGAAGTTTTCACCTTATATACCAGGACAAATAACGACATGTGGTGAGTACTTCTATATTTTAATCATCTATCTGTAATTTTCCTGACTAGGTAGAAACGACCATATTGAAGTGTCGATTACTATCACTACGAATATAATTTCCCACCCTGAGTACGCAAAATTATCGAAGAACATAATACAGATACAGATCTGTAGGTTCATCGAGGAGGTGAAATACATATCTATATTCTGTAGTTTCCTTTTCCCAAATTTATTAATAAGAGTATTTATTAGTATTTCCTCGATAAACATGTAGTAGTAAAGACAAATCAGATTATTTGTCCCAGAATGAAAATGCGCTCTGAATTTCCTATCGGGAACCTATGTAACACTACTTCCGGAACATAAGATCCGTTTCAACCAATATACAAGGTGTTATATTAGGAATATGCTACTTTCAGATGGATGCCACAGCTTCAAAAATGATTCATTTTGATTGAGCTGATCACCCGTGACAATGCATTTTCTGAATATTTCTATGTTATCCAGGAACGTGTGAAAGCCATCGAGTTTTTGGGACACCGTGTATATACAATGTGTCCCATAAGTGATGTAGCAAAAGATGTGGGGTGGTAGGGGGAGCCTTTCCAATCAAACTAACCGTATATATGTGGTTATCCCATTGTTCATGGTTCGAAAGTTATAAAAACAATTTTATTCCTCCTTAAAATCATGTAGTTTGTTTACTAAAAGAATGATCACAAAAAAACTATATCACATTCGATTTTTGTTAGATGCGCATGGATGTATCTTTTCCAAGAAGGTATGTTCATGACCTGTGTTAATTCCAATCAATTAATGAAAATTCAGTTTTTCTCAAATTTTGTTGAAATAATCCCGTTGATTCATTAATGCCGCTGGAATATTTAAAAAGGAGCCCACAAAGATGACCAGCTATCACGAAAAGTTGTCCATTTGATACAAATTCCAAAATGGTATGACATATGTGACTGTGTATAATTCTTTTAGAGAACATGTTTGGCTTTGCTTATTATCACAATTTCACCAACGTCGAATTTTCTGGTTCCAGCAATTTTGATGTGATTGTACGTGGAGTTCAGAATATCGTGTTCGTTGGCTTTGGTGACGTCACTGGGCTTGCATCTAATCTCCATATGTTTCGTGTTATTATAATTTTTCGTGATTTCAGGCAGGACATCTATCCATCGGTATGAGCCATTCAAACTAAAGTACTTGCATAGTTTCTCCTTCAATGGTCCGTATAACACGTTCAACAATGGCTGCCTTCATTATGGTGTACGTATGATAATGGCTGATGGAGAACTTTTTCATCAGACTTTGAAACATTTCGTTGTAGAATTCAGTCCCTTGATCGATTTGCAAGTTCTTGGAATCTCTGGTGTTGCCAGCATGTGATAGGATATCTACAAATACTCGAGCAATTTCAGTACCAGATTTTGATTTCAATGGTCGAGTCCATAGGTACTTGGAAAAACAATCAATCACAACCATTATCAGCTTATGGTCCTTATTCACAGAGGCATAGGGTCGCATTTCGGCCAGATCCATTTGCCATAGGTCATCCAAGCCTTTGATGATGATGCGACGTCTTGGGAATTCCTTGTGTACAGGTCTATGTAATTCATTAACGAGTTGGATTTTTTCTTCAGAATGTAACATGTTGACAACGTCGGATGGAAAATGATGTAAGAAACAATTACACGAGGAGTTCATATGATCCACACAGGAGGTTTTCTTTTTGGTGGTGGTGGTAGTGTCACAGTTGAAGATTTTGGAGCTATAATCTTGGCAAGATCTGTTTTGATTTTTGCAATGGCATCAGCGAGCTGACATTCTTTATCATGCACTGAGAGAAACTGGATATTAAAAATATCTACCAGCTCTGATTGTAATAACCATTATAAGGAAATCTCCTATCCCTGATCATTTTATTATTACAACAGTATTCTCTCCATTCTCTAATCATAAAAATCGATTTCTTAAATCATTTGTAATACCCTTGAATGGACATTTGCTACCATCATAACGCAGGTGTGTTATGACATTATGAGAATTTTATAAATTCCAGTCTATTCAGATTTTTTATTGACATAGCTCGTTTTGTGAATTATGCTCACTGGCGAATTCAGATAATGTTTGTCCCAATAATCATAGCTGTTTGGGTTTCTAGCATTGTACGTTGACGAATAACTCTAGCAATTCACATGTATGACGGTTATTAGGCAATCAATCGACAATCGTAATTCGGCTCATTTCGTTCTAGTGTTTCATTAGTATTGAGGCTGTCAAAGAAACAGATCGCGTTCATTTCTCTGTTCTCGGTCATGGGTGCCCGTGTTCAATTATTGTTCAATGCATGGTTTCGATCGTCCGAATCGAAAGAGCCGTGTCTTGTTGGTGAATGTCTGTGATGTAGCAAAGTTTTGTTTCAGTGCTGGCTGTGAACCGATCTGTGGAATACACCGTGCATTGCATTATTGCAATGAAAAAAGTATTCTCCATACCCACTTTTCAAGGCCTAAAATTGGTTTATTTCAAAAACAAAATGATCGATGAGATTCTGAATCAAAATATCTTGGTTTCTGTGAGGAAAGTTTTATTGACAATTCTCATCATAACTCCGAAGGAAGGGTAAATATAAGTATTCAACTTCTCATTTCTTAATAAATTCGTCAGTAATGCATATAGATAATATTTCTCCGAAAAAATCAATGAGTAATGTCAAAAAATTTCCACAGATACCCCAATATTTCAATTCAGAGACTAAAAGTATTTTTTTGTGTTTTTGAAAACAATAACTTTGGATCATGAAAAGTGATAGTGTGGATAGGATATTTATTTCCATTGCAGTAATTCAAAGCACGGTTTCATAATGCATACCATCGAATAATGTTGATTAGATAACCTTATTACCACTGTTTGATGAATATACTAGAGTAGAAAAATATTGGGATAACTGTTGAAAATGAGCTACATTACAATAGCATGTCGAAATATCAGGTTTCATGCAGATATCAGATAACTATAATAAAATGAGACGAGTTACTGCGTTACCTCAAGATGGTTGTGCCAGTAATAAAAACATACTTTTTTATGTCGATACTCTAATAACCACTGTAGAGTGGAGAGTTACTGCAACATTTTATGGGAATAATTCCTATTCGACATTCTGTGTTATCATAGAAACTAGAACAAGTAGTAGTTATTCAGTAGCGGTGTTTTTATACAAGTTTGCAAATTGAATAAGCTGCCATAACTACGAGTCACCTGAAAATTCACTTCATCTATGGTAGCACATGAACACATCTGTCCCCTATTTATTGCAGATATCGTAATAACGGTTATCAGATTTCCAATTATGATAACTCAAGTTTTCTCTCAGTGTGGCTCTGTTGTTGCTCAACCCTCACATCGTGCAAACTCTTCAGAGTGTTGTCGATCTTATCAACAAGTTCTAGAATATTTTTCACAATCAAGTTGATGTCGCTTTCGAGTTTTGGTAGAGAATTGTAGCGAAACTGCTCCACATGTATGTTTGTCTTGTGTACTATGCCAGACAACTGAACAAAGTTTATATTGTACGTTGTCAGTTTGAGATCATGTGCATCCACTCTCTTCGTTTCTTCGATTATTTCGTTCCTGAAGCCAGCAAGGAGATTTCGGATTTTTTCATCGTGATTATCGAAAGCTATCTTGAAATGTGACTTTATTTGCGATATAACTTCATCCACATATTGTTTGTTCGCAACATCAGCGGCATCTGTTGGCAGTTCTACGTTACACATCTTCAAATGACCAACATCGATATCACCGGTTGGAGTATGTGAAAATCCAGATCTGACTGTCACCATCTGAGCTGAGTGATCGCTGCGTGGAAACGAACATTTTTCGAGACTCATTATGCTAATGACTAGAGTATTGTACGTTATCGATAATGGTCGGCACTTCGCTCCACTAATCAGCATCGTCACTCATATACATGCCATGAAAGTGCCACAGAAGTGTCACAGAAGTGTCACAGAAGTGTCACAGAAGTGTCACAGAAGTGTCACAGAAGTGTCACGGAAGTGTCACGGTACTATCAAAGTCTTCAACGACGACAGATGGTGGTGGTGGTGGTAGTGGTAGTACAACATCAGGAAGCGGTCTGAATAAATCTGCATTGAAAGCACTCCGTGCAACCAGAATGGCAATCAAGAGGGCTATTCCAAAAGAAATGACTATTCGCATTGGCAAAAAAACGTGTCATCATTTATCCAAGCCATATGTAGAGTCCTCGAGTTTGAACAGAGAAGATAAAAAAATGACAGAACAAGTGGAACAATATGTTCATGGTTTTAAATATTCCAGTGGTTATGCCAATTCGAATGAGTTGAACCGAATACTACAAGATAACCTGCAACAGACGAATATAATCTACGTTAGAGGTTATCAAAAGATTCAGTTTTTGCAGCGAAAATGTGCAGGGTTGAAGATGACCAATCACATTGTTAATTTGGTAGATTTTGACAATTCTTGGTGGCAACCAATAACGTTTCAAAATCCATTCCACCCTGCATGAATCATTTCCATTGAGTAAGGTTCCAGTGCAGTCTAGACAGTGTCGATACTTTATATAATTGGTTATGTAATTCATTGCCCAAATAAAAATTTCAGTTTTTATTAATCACATCCCTAATTTCTCAATGCACTTAATATAACATTTCAGATTCAAATCAGTGAACATATAAGTGTACAACACAGTGTCAAAATTGCAATGACATTGACAGTATCTTGATCCAATTTTGCGGGTGATTTTGCAAGTGTCTGCCAGTCTCCAATTTCGCCGTCATTGCCATCAGGGAACGATAACACCAATTTGTAGTTGATGCTGCTCCCAATTACATATTTTGGCATGTCAAATGAATAAACTGGTATTGTTATCATTGACATACATTTTACTCATCATCTTCCAATCACATGGTTGTGTACGATTCACATCAAAACATACGGCTACATTTCTCGTATCGTACGGTTTGTTTGTGTGGAAGACGTTGTTGCTCAGAGCTGTCAATAGGATGGAGCTTGCTTTCAGTATCGCCATCTAGTAGCTGTGTTGGTTAAATTATTCTTCCCGATGTAGGTGTAGCTGTGCGTCTCGGTTCAGTAAACACTCTGTCCCAAACGCTCGAAATCTTTGAACAGGTCAACTTTCTGCTCATACAATTGGATGTCTGCACTGAGCTGTCTTTCTTCGAGTGCACGTCTGTATACGTCAGAAGTCATGAGACAACTGTTTTACACGTTTATACCACCAACTCACATCTTATCACAACTTATTCCCTCTCTCTTCTTCTCTCTTTCTCTCTCTCCCTCTCTTTCTCTCTCTCCCTTTCTTTCTCTCTTCATCTCTATTTTCACGTACACAACAAGTCATGGAAAAAGAGAACATTGAGAAGTCTTATAATTGCTAATTCACATAGGAAAGAAGACCATCAATACAACAACGTTGGTTTGAGAATTTTGAAACGAACCGAGAATATCAATCCGTCAAACTGAGGCGACCTCAAGGAAGTGTGTCAAACAAATCGGGAATTAGTTTTTGTTTGTCATCTTTGGGACTCAAGACAATTTTGGTCTGCTCGATGGAAAGAACATCATTGGCATAGGAGCGGATCGTTTACTGGGCTACGATCTTTTCTTCACAAGTCGTCAGACAATCCACATAGTTATCGAAAGTGAGTTTATTTCATTCATTGCAATGAAGTCGTTTCTCGTGAATATCAGAGTATATTTTCTTGAGTATATCTTTATACATTTCAAATGAACACAGACTATCCCATTCTTTTGAACAATTTATTTGAGGTTTCCATTTCTATGCTAATATCGTCTATGTTACATAGAAAATTGGTTATTTTCTCAACACACATGCTTGGACGTCATACTGAACACACGTGACTGAGACACACATTTGACAATTGGAATGAAACAAAATAATATTTGATTATTTATTCGTGAATTGATACAAGTTTCAATAGCAATGTTTTGATTTGATGAAGTAATTCGTCATTGGAGCCGGATATTCCAAAGATGCTCCAACTGAACGGTCCGGCTTTCACAATCCGTCTAGTATATTCACTGTATCTGTAGTACGTTTTTTTATCGAAAAAATATATATTTTCGTCGATAAAACGAAAAGCTAATATTATGCCTGCAGGAATTCCTGGGAAGAGGTGACTAAGTGGTCCACGGTTGCTCACGTCTCCATTGTCGTCGAAATGTAAGAATCGTTGTTATATATCAGATAAGCCTGTCCACTGTTTGTCTAAAAGACAGCAATAATTTTTGCTTCAGAAGGCAAAGGAAAACGAAAGTTTTGGTGGATTTGAAAATTCGAAAATGATGCTGCATAATACATGCTGTCGTTAATAAATGTCACTAGATCACCCCCAGAACTTTGGAAGACATAAGCAACTCGAGAATACTTCAGATCTTCAGGGAGATAATCATCAAACAGTTCTGGCTGTGATGGAATTCGCATATCGTTCAAATCGATTTTCCACAAAAATCTGTTGTATCCCACGTACATGCGATAATTTTGGAACTGGGGTGCTGTGGCTGAGAACATTAAGTCTGGCACTTGAATGTCGCACAATCTTGTTGGAGTTATCAGAGGCTCTGAGGTTGTGCTAGGAACGTCTACGTTATGGGGTTTATTTTTGACGGTACTGCTGAAAATGTGGTGGGGGTGTCTACGTGCTGGGATTTTGGTTTTTGGAATTTGGTTGTCTGCGTTGTTGAGGTTGTTGTTGGTTGATAGCTTTTTCCTGCCCATACAAATATTCTATCGTTCTCTTATCATCTATATCGGATGATGCTGGACTTGCTTGATACCAAGAATACATAATAGCTGTATTGACATCACTGTTCCTCAGCCCGAGAGCATGGCCAATTTAGTACCATCAATAAACTAGTTTGGCCGTCAGGAGGAGTACCATTTCCAAGATACTATTTTTCTTCAGCATCAAGATAAGATGAATCCCGATACATTTGTTGTCTTCATTCGGAAAATATGCATGTGCCTGAACTTTTTCAGTGCCGTCGAAATTATATGGACACTTAGAAGTGCTTTGACAATCTGCTCAAAAATTGTGATTTTTTGAGATAACAGTTAGGGTAATATCAGGCTTTTTCTTGTGAGGGTTTCGCACATTTTGAAACTTCAAATTCGATATTTCCTCCCACCTATCGAATGCCATATTGACTGTATCACGGTGTGCCTGTTGAGCTTGGGGAAAATACCAGTGTAACTTTGTTTTGTTCCATTTCGAATGTATCATGAGATTATTTTCTCCTACAGAACAACGCGAGCTATTCAGCAGGAACTCAGTTTCGTTATCCAGCGTTCCACTCACAGAATGATTGCTCATCTCTTGATATGTGATTAATGTCGATTCTTTGTCGGTGACAGCATTATCCGTTGTATTTATGTAGCCAAAACGATTCAAAAAAGAGCCTGCATATTCAATTGTATCATTCCTGGTAGCAGAAACTGACGCTATGATTGAAAGCAACAGCTTACTCTTCAACATCTTGATTGATTCTAATCAATATAGTGAGGGGAACATTATGATCCAATTATGTCGATAATGATTGTTTACATCGAATGTATATATTTGAACTTTCTTCCTTTCTCGCCTTAGGGGCCTCATATTATTTTCTATATCGCTTTTGTTGATATTTCAGATTGTCAATAGTCCTCGAAGTTTCTTATCTCTAGAACGGATCTCTCGCTTCGATTTACCTCTATAGATATGCTGCAGAGATATGGGCGCGCCAGCGATGGATATTATTTTCGACTCGAAGTTTCTTATCTCTGGAACGCATCTCTCGCTTTGCTTAACCTCTACAGATCCGTTGCAGAGATAAGCGCGCGCCAGCGATGGATATTATGTTCGACTCGAAGTTTCTTATCTCTGGAACGCATCTCTCGCTTTGCTCAACTTCTACAGATCCGTTACAGAGATAAGCGTGCGCCAGCGATGGATATTATTTTCGACTCGAAGTTTCTTATCTCTGGAACGCATCTCTCGCTCTACTCAAACCTACGATGTCTTGTTCAGACATGTTATTTTTACAAATCACACACAAACATTAACTTGTGGATGTGGCGCAATGGTAGCGTATCGGGCTCACAGTCCGTCGGCCGGGGTTCGATTCCCTGTGCGCAGCTCACAGCTTTTATCATTTAATTTCAAATATAAATTAGATTGGAAAAATGACGTCACCATACGAATAATACATATTATAATCTAAATGTAAATTGAATCGGAAAAATGACGTCACCATACGAATAATAAATATTATAAATTAAAACCATCGAGAAGTTGATGTTGCGTTTTTTTGGTGATTCCTACGGTAGCAACTGAATTACAAGTGACAGCATAACTAAGCAATACCCAAAACAAACGCATAGAAGAATGGTTGAAGGTTTATAACCTATATTGCCAATATCAAATTTTTGAGTTTGGATTTATAGGATTGTTTTTATAATATTATTGAATTTATTGAGATGAATTTTATTCCTGGTTTGTTGTTGCTGACATCGATAGTTAGAAGCAGAAATGATTTGAATTTATTACTAACAGCAGAGGAGTTTGACATGAACATTTTGGAGAGAATTGTGTGTCTGTAAGTTCGATCCTTGTGATTTGAAAATGTTATTTGATAATCAACTTCAACTAATAAGCCAACGTGCACATAAGTGACACTTTGTTTCACAAACGAATTTTGCGTTCCCAAAGTGAAGCATAAGCGCTTATGCTATTACTATTATGTAATCTGGAAAGCGAAGAAATACCAAAATGTGAGAATTTTTATGAAGTTGTTATACCATCATACCGGTTCTCCACATTCAAAAGCCATTCTAGAATGACATCAGGAGCTTTTGAATTCATTTTGAATCAGATTGTCCTTGATGATTTTTTCAGGAAACGTTCTGAAGAATATGGAGGAAGGACACAACAGAATCCTGAAAAATCATTACTTATTGCAATTTGGGCACTGGCAACACCTGAGAGCTACCGTTCAATAGGTGACAGATTTAATGTTACCAAATCAACAGTTTTTCATTGCCTACATGGAATTGTTGAAGTCATATTGAACAACTTGTGTAAAGTTTATATAAGATGGCCTAGACTTGAGGAACGACCTTCCATAGCTGATGGTTTTAATAAGTATGGGTTCCAGTGTTGCCAATGTTGGTGATTTATCACCAGATTGGTTGATTTCTTTGCCAATTTGGTTTTTCACAAAGAGTCCCATAGAGCGCATAAGATGGGTAAAAAGAAGTTTGAAACCACCCAATTCACATTCCTAACAATCATCAACATATAACATTGGAAGGAACAGGTGCTATTTCTGCAACAAGTGCATGTATATTTATCTCCGCGTCCACCGTACCATACATTCGTGTGAAAAGGGAAGATTAATATTGACTTCAGAAACATTAGTACACAACAGTCTCGCCCAATGAAACTTGCTGCAGAGATCTTGCTGTAAGACAAGACTTTTAAACTTGATTTAAAATAATCGAAAGATCCAACAAAAATCGAAACAAAAAATGATGGATGGGGTCGATGAGGATAGCGGCGATGATTTGTCTCAGTAGAATAATTCAATTATGAAATTGGGGATAATTTGGTGAATAAAAATGGAAATCACAAAAATACTTAGGAATTGAAATAATCGAACCTTCATGTACATACATACCTTTTTAATTCGATTGGTAACTAGTGATACCATAGGTAATATCTTTGACTGAGGTGCCTTCGACTTCTACAAAATGTTGATTTCAATATTTTATTTGAAAATGAGTACATATATTTCAGAATTTGTGAAATCTGGTGATAATTTATCAAATCTGGTGATTTTTACCTCACAGATCTGGTGATTTAAAATGTTAATTGTTGGCAACATTGATGGGTTCACAAGCATTGTGGGAGTTATTGATGACTGCCATATACCAATCAAACGTCCTAACTTTCATCCTATGGACTATCTTAATAGAAAGAAATTCTATTCAGTTGTGCTGCAAGGTGTGTGCAAGTATAATTTGACATTCACTGATGTAGATGTTCGTTGGCCAGGTGGAGTACATGATGCTCGTGTGCTCAGAACATCAGATATGTTCCAGTTGGGGCCTATATTGTGTCAGGCAAATCATTTTCTACTAGGTGATGCTGCATACCCTTTATTATGGTGGTTGATGACACCATTCAAAAATATTGGTCACCTCACTCCTGCTCAAAGTCACTACAATAAAACACTATCAAAAACTCGTGTGAGAATTGAACATTCCTTTGGGTTATTGAAAGGTCGTTTCAGACGACTAAAAGATATGTTGGACATGAACGGTGAACAAAATATTATGAATACCATTGTGGCTTCTTGTGTACTCCATAATATTTGTATTGTCTTAGGAGATGATAATAATATTGAAGCTTATATTCATGAAGGCTTAGAAAATATAGCTTTATTGAACATAGAGAATGCTCCAAATAATGCTCCCAGAGGGTCTATATTACGTGATAATTTAGTCCAGGAACTGTGGGAGGCGAGGAGATGAGGTCAATCAGAATATTATCACCACATTGATGAATATTCCTAAATTATTTTATTGTTTTTTTTTCAATAAAACTTTTTCATACTCAATATTGTTTTTTTTCACCAACAAAAAATATTTTCAGAAAAATTTCACTATACCAGATTGAATACCAGTGTCCTTAGGTTTCTAAACATGTTCATATGTAATTCTCTTATAATACATGAACTTCTTAAGGAATATTTTAATATTTATTCATTAAATATGTTGAACATCAAGTTATCACTCATACAGAGTAAAAAGTAACCAAAGAATGAATTCCTATTCATAAATATAAATGTAACAATGTTATAGGTATTCCCTATAAAATAAACAACTTCCATTTCGAAACAAATAGCCCATGAAGAATTCTGAACATGATAAACTTCAAATAAAGTAAAATGAATAAAATGACTGAACAGTACTTCGATAATGGCAATAGAATCATTCTTAAAGGAACCTGAATTATTTTCTGTCCAGACTTTCATCGTTTCTCATCAGATTCAGCACATATCTGCCATGAATTTTTTATTCTCTGCATGCTGCTCTCTAGCCAATGCTATTCTTCTTTCTTCTCTTTCTGAAACCTCCTTCTCGTATTCTTGTAGCCACTTCACCATCTCAACTCTAGGTGAAACTCTTTTACAAATTCTTTTGACTTTTCCTGTGCAGTCAGTAGATATTTTTTTACCACTATTCTCAGTAGTCTCAGCAGTGAAGGTCTCATTGGTACGAGTCTGTGAAGAAGCTGGCACAGCATCATCTGCCAACCTTATGCTTGAACAAACTGCTCTGGGAGTGATTCCAGGCCTATCACCACAATATTCAGCCATAGAGTCGAAAAGCATCCAGTCCTTATGACTATTTCCTGACTGAGAGTTGTGATCCCTTATTTGTTTGTATTTTGCAGTGAGTGTCTTGAGTCTATTAGCACACTGATCTGCAGTGAAATAGTGGCCCTTATTCTGTAACTCTATGTCAATGTCTTTGTAAACTTTTGTCTTTTTATATTTGACATTGGTTAATCTTTCTTTGTTTTCAGAACATAGATCTAAAAACATCAACGTCTGATTGTCACTCCAAGTGTTTGGTTTCATCAATGAAGTTGTTTTGTTTGTTTCTGGCAATATCTCAGAATCATTGTTTTGTTTAGTACCAAAATGATTGGACTTGCTTGTTCCAGGTTGTATGTAAGGTTGCATCATGGCCAAATGGGTTTGGATTGTTCCTGGCAATATCTCAGGATCGTTCTGTTTTGATTGGCCCATTCCAGAACAATATAAGTTTGATTTCATTACAGTAACATATGTTTGACGTTATCCAGGGGAAGTAGTTTTCTCCAGAGATTTTCCTTGGAACCCATTCCCACCATCATATATTTCCACCACTTCATAGGAATGAGCTTGAAATAAAAATTACCATATTATAACAACATGCATGCACATACATGATTTACATACTTTCTGGATTCAGCCACATATATTCTCCATTTTCAGTCTGAATCAGTGACTCCATAATTTTTTCACAGACTTTTAATACGAGGTAATAACAACTAGACAAACCTTGGGAATAACGGACAACGTAACCTCAATCCTCATAGATCTCAAAAACCATGAAATGACTGACACTAGTGACATTGCTCCACCACTCCTCACTCTTCTCTACCAAGCATTCCACATCGAGAGATGGAAGGAACGGTAGCAATCGGAGTTGGAATGACAGTTCAATAAAACGGCTGGAATAATAATTCAGGAAGCAGAAGCGCACCAAAAAAACGCAACATGAAATTATCGCTACATCTACAGCGCCACCTAGGGAGTATTGCTTGCGGCTCTGTGCTAGAAACGGCATAATCCTTCCAACGGCCCTCTGTCAAACGTCATCTACCATACGTTAGATATCTAATATGATGAGCTCACGTGTGGTGAGTCGCCCTATTTTTTCAATTTGCCGGCCTGTGATTGGCTAGCCAAGTCACGTGGTTGGGTGGAGGGGTGAGGCTAGACGAGTCTCCGGGGACAACTACTGACAGCATGCAGAAAATTACAATGGTATAAGATGGTAGATATATGAAATGAGAAACAAAAATGAAGAGGAAGAACTGTCTAACATTCAACTATTCGAACAGACATTTTCCAAGGCAAAGATCAATAGCACAAAACTCAGAAGCAGAAATAGTGAATACCTATTATGCGTGAGACCAATTTATACGCGAAAGGTATAGGACAAAAAAAGATTGTGAAAATTAAGGAACAAATATCCGGCTCTTAGGACCAATGTTACAGATCGATAAGCTCGATTATATCAGAGAAAAGTGGACATTTAGAAACCGGTATTTTCGATAAGGGATTGTGTGATGATTAAGGCAAAATTACGAAGTTCCTTCAGCACTAAGAGACCTACCGACCTACCGGGGATAGTTCTCGAAGTTTCTGGTCCAGCTGCAGGCGGTGAAGAAAGGGCCCTCTCGGAGGTCGTCGTCGTCGTTTGATGTGGTAATTCTCCTCAAATTTCGCACATAGAACATATGTACGAAAACGCATATAAAATATGCGCTTCTCACTGTATAACACGAACAATCACAGGCATAACAAATTGGAGATAGTGGTTTCCACTATGTTATAGAAACAATAGAGTGCGGCTTTTCTCAAGTTCGTAAAAGCAATGTCGCAGTACCTTTTCACACTAATAAGGCCGATATTCATACATACCAAGGTATGGTGGTGCGCGAAAGTGGTCATCTCAGTGCTGATTGATTAGGCCCGATTTTCAAGTGTTTAATACTAATCGACTGATTCGTTCTGGAACACCCAGTAGCACATAATCTTGGCTGGGCATTGGTCCTATATTGGCCCAATATTGCCTGAATATTGGAGGGAAGTAGGTTTGATTTGCTCCATTGATGGATAATTTCGATGTCTTTGGTTATTCCAATTTATAGTGCCTCCACAGATCTATCACTCCATAATATGGTAGTGTCATCAGCAAAGAGAGTTATTTTCCCGGATATATACAATTCAGTCATATCATTGACATATAGCCCCAAGAACCGAACCTTGAGGTAATCCATGATAAATATTTGAATGCGTTCATCCACTGTGGGCTTGAATTACTGAACCCATAGTAGTGGAGCTTCCGAAGCAGTACTTCATGATTAACGTAATCAAAAGCTTTTGAAAAGACAAAAAACACTGCAGCGGCAACCTCACCACTCTTAATGTCTTGTTATACGACGCGTTACCTATATAGTGGAGTATATACTACGGCCTTGCCAAAAATGCTATCTCGGAAACTAAGCGTGATAGAGGTAAAGTTACTTCGGAGAAAATGATCCCCATCGAATTTTGAGCAACTTTGGTTTTTGTGTGTGGTCTGTCTGTCTGTCTGTCTGTCTGTCTGTCTGTCTGTCTGTCTGTCTGTCTGTCTGTCTGTCTGTCTGTCTGTCTGTCTGTCTGTCTGTCTGTCTGTCTGTCTGTCTGTCTGTCTGTCTGTCTGTCTGTCTGTCTGTCTGTCTGTCTGTCTGTCTGTCTGTCTGTCTGTCTGTCTGTCTGTCTGTCTGTCTGTCTGTCTGTCTGTCTGTCTGTCTGTCTGTCTGTCTGTCTGTCTGTCTGTCTGTCTGTCTGTCTGTCTGTCTGTCTGTCTGTCTGTCTGTCTGTCTGTCTGTCTGTCTGTCTGTCTGTCTGTCTGTCTGTCTGTCTGTCTGTCTGTCTGTCTGTCTGTCTGTCTGTCTGTCTGTCTGTCTGTCTGTCTGTCTGTCTGTCTGTCTGTCTGTCTGTCTGTCTGTCTGTCTGTCTGTCTGTCTGTCTGTCTGTCTGTCTGTCTGTCTGTCTGTCTGTCTGTCTGTCTGTCTGTCTGTCTGTCTGTCTGTCTGTCTGTCTGTCTGTCTGTCTGTACTCTGTGGTAATCATAAATCGTTATATCTCCAGAACCCTCTGACGTATCGACTTGAAATTTCGTCATCTTAATGTAGGTACTCAAAACAATATTATGTCATTAGAATATGGAGGAAATCGGAAAACTCTAAGGTGTTTTTTTCGGGTTTTTTCGATTTTTCACCGGAAGTTTCCTGTAACCACTCTACAAATCGCGCAAAAGTGGTCCGATCGATTTCATTTTTTCTGAAAAAAAACTTTATTAGGGAGAGACAAAGCCTATCGAAATTGAGCAGGGTCGGAAAATTCCAAGTGGGTTTTTCAAGGAGATTTTTCGAAACACACGGTTCGCTTTAAAACAACATATCTCCTGAACCAATAGACTAAATCCAAATTTGAAAAATGCACCTTATACCTCTTTGATGACGCAACAAATTATATTATTACTTTTCTTTCGTGCATCCATCGGAAAATGGAAAAACAAATGAAAATCAAAATATCAAAATTTGAAATCCTTTCAATTCAATATATATCGAAAACAAATGGAAAAATCGAAAATTATCAGAAGTGCAAAGTTATCCACTGGAACATTTCCTTCAAATTATTACCCATAATTTCTTCTGTAAACCCAAAAGTACTGGGAATAAAGTGAAAAATATGAAAACAAAAAATGTGAACGGCCCATAGGGTACCATGAAGATATATTGAAAAGCAAAGATTATCGATAGATGAAGCTCATCGACTTTCACTGAACCATGGAATATTTTCTCCTTTTGTTGATTGGAAGATGGAACAAAAGTGTTGAAAATTTTATTCTCAGATTATTCCAAATATCTCGAAAACAACTGAAAATATCTGAAAATGTTATGGAACCAAAATTATTCCTTTTGATAGAATCTACAAAAAATCCGTATAACATTTTCTCTGAATTCAATAGTTCGGGAGATACGATGAGAAAACTAAAAACTTCCTAGATAATCACTTGCTGATAGAAAATAAAACAAAAAACAAAAGAAAGTAAAAAAAGCACACTCGACTGTCTTGATTTTTTCCCACAAACTACGTACCTAGCTCACTCGACTGTCTTGAGTTTCCACAAAGAAGAAATATGTTTGCATTGTTTGAACTTTCTTTTGTTTTGGTTTTTTTAGTCCCTATTGGCAGTCGAGTGGGCTAGGTACGTAGTTTGTGTGGAGAAACCAAGACAGTCGTACGTAGTTTGTGGGAGAAATCTTCAGTTCTCTGAACTTCCATAGCGTCGTATATACATCTTTGGTGCCCAATAGATAGATAGATAGATAGATAATTTATTCATCATTGAAGTTTTTACACAAAGTAGTACAGAAACTTATCAGACTAGTCAAACGGGAAATCAGACTTTACAAAAGTCATGCTGAGGACAAAATATTTTAAAGAGAAAAATGAATAAATTCACACATTCAAGGAATACAATGATAGTTTCAATATGAAAATATGCTCATGATATGGTGCCATGGCTTCTAATTCCATCTTACATGAGCAATGATAAAATATCATCTGCTCTCATAGCGTCGTATAAATTATCTGACCTCTATACTAATCTGATACCTTTCAAAAACTACGTACCTCACTTGTTCCGATGCCAGTATATTATTGGAATCCAGAAATTCAACGATTCGTATTTTCACTAATTTCTCTATAATTTTGGCGAGTGTCGGAATGAGCTTAATGGGGCGATAGTTTGATGATTCGTCTTTGCTTCCTCTTGTGTGAATTGGTATAATGATAGAATAAGTGTTCAGAAATTGCGAATAAGTACCAGTATTGAACGATTGGTTAATGGACTGCACTGGGTATATATATTTCGTCAGATCGTATTGTATCAAAACCGTATTTCATCAAATCGAATTCTATCATGATGGCATTCTGTAGAAACTGTACTTCATAGAACCAATAATTCATCAAAATATAAAGGATCATAATGTATCTCATCATACAGTTAAACAAAGAAATGTACTTCATAGAGAAGTAAAACATCATACCTTATTTTTTAGAATTGGTAATCCATCATAACCGTATTCCATCGAAACAGTAAATCATCAAAATCGTATTATATCGAGACAATATCGTATAGAACCTGTTGAGCATCGAAACGGCAATTCTTCAGATCCGTATTTCATCAAAACATCAATCTATCAGAGTGAACACTTATCGAATTCGTAATTAGGCGAAACCGTAATTTGTAGAAACCGTAATTCGCCAGAACCGTATTTCATCAAATCAATAATCCATCATAACCGTATTTCGTAGAATCGGTAATTCATCAGATTCGTATTTCATAGAAACAGTAATTCATCAAACCCGTATTTTATCAAAACGTCAATTCATCATATCCGCATTTCATAGAATCAGTAATT